GAGATGCATTGATAATAGGTATTAACTGATATAAATATCTACCTCGTAGGCTCTCGGCCTAAGGGTTCTTTTTGATTTTGACCTCTCTTTTACTCCCCATGTCCAATTGATAGCCAAATCCTGTCACTTCCAGCTCAAGAACAGAGCGCGCATCCGCCCATATCTAACGCCGGACGCGGCTAAGGTACTGGTTCATGCTGTTGTTCTCTCTCGCCTTGACTACTGCAATCCCCTTCTCACCGGTCTTACATGTTCCCAGCTTGCACCGCTGCAATCTATAATGAATGCGGCTGTGAGGCTTATTTTCCTGTCCGGTCGCACCTCCCACGTCTCCACGCTCTGTCAGTCTCTGCATTGGCTTCCAGTTAGATATAAGGCCCAATTCAAAATTTGGGCACTTGCTTACAAATCCCTACATAATTCTGCTCCAACATACCTATCCTCCCTCATAAGCAAGTATGTCCCATCGAGACCCCTGCGCTCAGCCCAAGACCTATGCCTATCCTCTGCCTGGATCCCCATCTCTGATGCTCGCCTTCAAGACTTCTCCAGGGCTGCACGTAGTCTGTGGAACTCCCTTCCCTCCTCAATCAGACTTTCACCCTGCCTCCACTCCTTCAAAAAATCTTTGAAAACTCACTTCTTCATTAAAGTGTATCAATTAAACTGTCAGCAGGTTTCTCATCTCCCACCCCATGACTCCTTTCCTGCAACTGTCAAAAATGACCTACCAAGCACTCAATAAACCCTTCTCTAACAAACTATGTAATTCCCCTACTTTAACCCTTTGTGTTACTATACCCCACTCCCTCTAGCATGTAAGCTCATCGAGCAGGGCCCTCAACCCCCTCTGTTCCTGTACGTCCAGTGGTCTGATCTCAATTATGTGTCTGTTAGTCCACCCATTGTACAGCGCTACGAAATTTGTTGGCGCTATATAAATCATAAAATAATAAAATAATAATAAAATAATAATAATAAATATGTTACAAAACAATACAGAGGAGGTGATATATAATATAAGCATTTTATAATATATGAAAATGTTTACTTCGTATAAATTACCTCTAAGCTCTAATAATAGTAATAATAGTAATACGTTTTAAATTCATTTCATTTAGATTAATTTTGTCTTCCTTTTCTAGTTTATCCATCATGTTAATAAAAACATGTAGTTTACACAATCACTATTTTATACATAGTGTCAAGAGTAATTGGAAAACCTTGTATCACAGTTTTAAAAGCTATACCGCTATATAACAATATGAGAATATTGACTGATCCATCATTATTCTCTTCAAGGAAATGCATTGTTTTCACATTCCCATAATTTCATTATTTGAAGTGGGTCTTTGTTTGGTTTCCATTGTAATCGACACTATTATAGCCATTTCCTTTAAATTTAAACAAGTACTGGATGACCTGACATTGGTTATTCTGCTTTTAACGTTTCATATTTTCACACTTGTGGCTTTATCAATGGCATATCAGTACAGGAATATGATAAATGTCAGCTTCAGTAAAATGTCTACTCTAATGTTCACAATATCGGCATTGGCACAAATTATATAGTTATTATTTGACAAAAATCCTTGTTTTTAATGCTTTGAAAGGAGTTTTTTTTTTTCTTTACTATTAATAATTCTTATCTCCTTGAAAAATGTTTTAACCCCTTTAGGACTGGACTGTTTTTTCCTCTGTAATGTTCCTCTCTCTCATTTACTGTTCCCTTACAAGTTATAGATTTTATATTTTTTCAGGACAAAAAGAGCTTTCTTTACATACCATTATTTGTATCATGTCATATTATTTACTTAAAAAAAAAAATGGTGAAAAATTTTAAAAAACATGTTTTTTACTTTTACTTTATTTTACTTATCTACAAAAGCTAATGAAAAAAACTGCTAAATATATTAAAAATTGTCCTGAGTTTAAAAACACCCAGTGTTTACATGCTTTTTTGCTTTTTTTTGTGCAATTATAGGGCTATAAGTACAAATAGGAAATTGCTATTTCAAAACATATATTTTTTTTAATTGATCAATAGTGACATTGTAACACTGCTATCTGTCATAAATCTCTGAATCACACCTCACATGTACATATTCAATACCCAGGATATTCAGGGGTATGTCCAGTCTTTTTTAGTAGCCATTTAGTCACAAACATTGGCCAAAGTTAGCATTTATATTTGTTTGTGTGTTAAAAATATAAAATAAAAAAATTATGAATGCTAACTTTGGCCAGTGTTTTTGACTAAGTGGCTAAGAAGACAACCTTGGGTTGCCTTCCTTTGCAAATGGCATGCCATCATGGGAGTAATTTTCATTCCTGGGCTACCATACGCTCTCAATGGCAACATAACCAACCTGACAATTTTTAATGTAAAAAAGTGACTCTTATATTTGACCCTGTAACTTAAAAAACACTATAAAACCTGTACATGGGGGGTACTGTTATACTTGTGAGGCTTTGCTGAACACAAATATTAGTGTTTCAAAACAGTAAAATGTATCACAACAATTATATCATCAGTGAAAGTGCTGTTTGTATGTGAAAAATGCAATAAACGTCACTTTCACTGACAATATCATCGCTGTGATATGTTTTACTGTTTTGAAACACTAATATTTGTGTTCAGCGAAGCCTCCCAAGTATAACAGTACCCCCCATGTACAAGTTTTATAGTGTTTTTCATTGAGTGACTGAGCATTACAGTGGCTAAGATTCATGTACACTGCCACAGGTTCACTCAGGGCTCTCAAAAGAAGCTCATCTGGACACTGAGTGTTTTACTAGACTGCTTCCAACTCCCGGCTTACAATCTACTAATATACAGTTCTCACAAAGTTTCGTTAACACTGTATTTACACACTTTTGTAAATTTCGCCAGCTCATACTGTTCTGTTCCTCCTTGTGTGTAGGGTCTTTCCTGCGTTTTCTAATTTCATTATTGTCTTTCTCAATGCTGTCATTACATCAGATTGTTATGTATAGATCCAACTATCACTTTTTCACTAATGTTGCTCACATCCTGGAGGTTTGTTTGAAACTGGGACATCAGTCATTACAGCAAGCCAGCGAGACATAATACCTACTATTAGGATGCCAGGACATCATCTAGTTACTTGTGTTATTTCCCTCTCCCACCCCCTGCATACCCCAAATAATAGGGGTACGGAGGTATTTTTAACCAACTTTCCCACTCCCACCCCCAACAATAGGGGCACGGAGGCATTTTAAACTTACTGGCTCTCTGGCTCCCAACCCCCCACTCTACACTAAGGGCACGGAGGTTTTTCAATTTACCAGGCAAGGAGGGCTGGCAGAACGCAATACAGGCTCTTAACCCCCCCCCTAAACATCAGGGGCATGAGGGTGGCTACTTACCAGTCAGAAGAGCAGTCACTTTCAGGGTCGGAACTCCCTCCACAGGCGCAGGTCTGCCATCGGCCGAAAAGCACGACCAAGTACAGCACGGCAGTAGCAGAGCAGGCGGTAAGCTAAACTGCAGTAAACTCCCATCACTCATACACATTCAAAGGTGGATAATTAATACATGGCTGGCCACATAGAGGACATATGTGTATCTTACAGGTCATACCTATATTTGTGTAAGGGGCAAATAGCTGTATATGGAGTAAGGTTCCAGCATAAGCGTGGGATAGTATGAAGGGAGCAAGTCGGTTGTGGTGTGCCGAGACCGACGATACGGTAGGCCTGTAAATAAAGAGGGCCCACCAAGGAGTAAGAAAGTAAAGTAAATGGAAAGAAAAGAGAAAGTGTTGAAATGAGGAGTGGGTGGGAGGGTCATTCTGATGCTGACCTCAAGCGATATGGAGTCAGGTAAGGAGGTCCCTTATATAGGGGAGTGAATTAATTTAAGCCCCTCCCACAAATACAGGCCAAACCTCCTTAAAACTTGTGTAAGGGGCAAATAGCCGTATATGGAGTAAGGTTCCAGCATAAGCGTAGGATAGTATAAAGGGAGCAAGTTGGTTGTGGTATGCCGAGACCGACGATACGGTAGGCCTGTAAATAAAGAGGGCAAAAATTAATAATCACAGATTTAATACAGTCAACAATATATACAAATTAACCAGACATTTCCTTAAATGCATTATGGTATTTAATTCCCGGAAGGATTTTGAAGTTAGGAATCTAGGACCGCAACTGGACACCATTTGTTGTGGATAGGATAGTATGTTATCTCTACTGTTGGTGTGTGTTGACTCGTTTCGGAATGTGGTAGAGCCAATAGGTAACGATATATGGGTTTACATACGTGGGATCGTTGAAGACAATGATCTGTCTGAGTGGTGGTGATGGTAGTGGATTCTCTGGCCTGAGAAAGGCATAGAAGGCAGTGTGCATGGCTGGTAATGGCCGACTTGGTAGTATAATTGAATGGTTGTAGATCTAATAGGTCCGATAAGGATGGAAAAGTTGGATGGCTATTGGTAATCTCTGAGAGGAATGTGGGGGAATGGATTCCTGAAAACCTCTAAATATATTCTTGTCTGGGATTATAGCATGAAGTTATGGTAATTTTGGCCATAGGTTAAGGTGGCAAAAAGAAGCAAAACCTAGGAGAAATGTTATGACACAGGTTGAGCTATGTCATGTTCCAATGAGATTCTTTAAAGCCAGGTGAAAAGCTGTGTTATGCATTCTACAAGTATGGGAGGAAAGTGCTAGGTGGGATAGTGCATGATATGCTGCGTGAGTATGTCTAATCCATGATTTTGTCTCTGGAACAAAAGAGTGGCTGTGCCTGTATGGGCAGCTGTAGGAAGCGTATGATGAACATGCCTGGAATATAAATGAGACAATTGTCACCAGGGATGTATACCCCCGCCTGGTACATGAAAGTAAAAGAAATGTGATAAGTGGCCAACCAATTGAGTTCCCCAGCAATATCATGATCGTATGGATGATGAGTGGCGTTTGTTGATGATATGACATGTGCTTAGTTGTCTGAGTAACAACGGATTGATGACCCTGACCATGATTTACCCCATGCCACAGCAGCTGCTACAGTGGGGTAGATCCCCCAAAGGGGCTGAGGTGGTGGAAATTTCCAAACCTGGATGCCATGGCCAACAGCTCCAAAGCAATCGTTCCCAGGTAGATCGCTGCCAAACCCGTGGTAGACACCGCATCTGACCATCTGGTTGAAGAAGTGTCAGACAATCCTGGAAGGAACATGCTTTTACCATGCCAAGTGGTTAAGAAATTCCCCCCCATGTGCAGGTCTGCTGTGGCTGGGGTGTCTAGGGACATTCTCTGATCGTCATGTTGGAAGTGTGGAAAAAAGGGGGAAAGTACTCTGGATGTGAAAGCGTGGTCTTGTGGTATGATTTGCATGGCAAAATTAAGGAACCTGGTAGGGATTGTAGTTCCTTGCGGTTGTAAGTACTAAGCAAGAGGTAGTGATTGATGTAGTTGAGAATGTTCCCTATTTGTCTTGTGGTAACTTGCGTGTATGGATGCCAACTCAAGTTGTATGCCCAGTAATGTGATGATAGTGTCTGGGCCTTCTGTTTCTTATGGGCTAAAGTGACGCCCAAGTGGTCAACTAGACTAAGCTGCCTTGAGGCTTCTAGTGGAAATATGTTATCTTTGATCAATAAGAAGTCTTCTAGATAGTGTATGACTGTAATGCCTCTGGATATGTTATCATAACTAGCACAGAGTATCTGCAAATATCGATATTAGGCTAATCTGTAGCCCGAAAGTTGAGCGGGGAAAGGATTGCCCATTTTATGCCATGTAAGTGCAAGCGTGTAGGGTAGATGGTTGAGAAAAAGGATAAATGAGTCATTTATTACACGTGAGTTTACTGAGGAAGAGGTTCAATTTCAACTGTCAAAAGTAAAGACAAATAAGTCAATGGGACCTGATGGAATACACCCAAAGCTATTAAAAGAGCTTAGTGGTGAACTAGCAAAACCATTAACAGATTTATTTAACCAATCATTGTTAACAGGAGTAGTCCCAGAAGATTGGAAGTTAGCGAATGTTGTGCCCATTTACAAGAAAGGTAATAGGGAGGAGTCGGGCAACTATAGGCCAGTAAGCCTTACTTCAGTAGTGGGGAAAGTGATGGAAACCATGTTAAAGGATAGGATTGATGAACATCTAAAAACACATGGATTTCAAGATCAGAAACAACATGGGTTTACTTCAGGGAGATCATGCCAAACTAATCTTATTGATTTTTTTGATTGGGTAACTAAAATTATAGATCAGGGTGGTGCAGTAGATGTTGCTTACCTAGATTTCAGTAAGGCTTTTGACACAGTTGCACATAGAAGGCTTATCAATAAACTGCAATCTTTAAGTTTGGATTCCAATATTGTTGAATGGGTAAGGGAGTGGCTGAGTGACAGGCAACAGAGGGTTGTAGTTAATGCAATATATTCAAATCTTGGACTTGTCACCAGTGGGGTACCTCAGGGATCTGTACTTGGACCCATTCTCTTTAATATTTTTATTAGTGATATTGCAGAAGGTCTTGATGGTAAGGTATGTCTTTTTGCTGATGATACTAAGATATGTAACAGGGTTGATGTTCCAGGAGGGATAAGCCAAATGGCAAATGATTTAGGTAAACTAGAAAAATAGTCAGAATTGTGGCAACTGACATTTAATGTGGATAAGTGCAAGATAACGCATCTTGGACGTAAAAACCCAAGGGCAGGGTACAGAATATTTGATAGAGTCCTAACCTCAACATATGAGGAAAGGGATTTAGGGGTGATTATTTCTGATGACTTAAAGTTAGGCAGACAATGTAATAGAGCAGCAGGAAATGCTAGCAGAATGCTTGGTTGTATAGGGAGAGGTATTAGCAGTAGAAAGAGGGACGTGCTCATGCCATTGTACAGAACACTGGTGAGACCTCACTTGGAGTATTGTACACAGTACTGGAGACCGTATCTTCAGAAGGATATTGATACCTTAGAGAGGGTTCAGAGAAGGGCTACTAAACTGGTTCATGGATTGCGGGATAAAACTTACCAGGAAAGGTTAAAGGATCTTAACATGTATAGCTTGGAGGAAAGACGAGACAGGGGGGATATGATAGAAACATTTAAATATATAAAGGGAATCAACACAGTAAAGGAGGAGACTATATTTAAAAGAAGAAAAACTACCACAACAAGAGGACATAGTCTTAAATTAGAGGGACAAAGGTTTAAAAATAATATCAGGAAGTATTACTTTACTGAGAGGGTAGTGGATGCATGGAATAGCCTTCCAGCTGAAGTGGTAGAGGTTAACACAGTAAAGGAATTTAAGCATGTGTGGGATAGGCATAAGGCTATCCTAACTATAAGATAAGGCTAGGGACTAATGAAAGTATTTCAAAAATTGGGCAGACTAGATGGGCCAAATGGTTCTTATCTGCCGTCACATTCTATGTTTCTATGTTTCTATGTTTGATGATATTGGTCTTACTTAACCAAGCTTCAACCCATGCTTGAGTGATAGCTGTCAAGGTAGATCAATAGTGTTGTATAGTAAGGAAACTCCTCAGACGGTATGAGGGAGTTGGGACTTGGGGTAGCGGAGGTGTGTGGTGCCAATAAGTCTATGGTTAGTCTTTGTTTAAGGGAAGATTCCCTTGTGACAATACCAATGTGTTTGTGTTTGGCGCCATGCTGTAAATTGTGGAGATTTGAAAACCCAAGTAAAAACTCCTCTGCAAATCTTGGCTATGAGTGTGTTTACAGCCGATGGTTCTGTTGTGCTGACTGTAAGTGAGGGCATGCTATATTCCTTGAATGTGTAGTTATGATACCTGTATAGGAGCCCTTTGAAGCTCCAGAGCTTTAGTAAATCTACTACAAGTCTGGAAGGGTGATGAGTCAGTAGTGTTGAATGCATTGGTGTGTACAGATGGTGAGTAAGTTTGTTTTTTATTTTATTTTATTTTATTTTTTTGTAAGTTGTATTGGGACACATGGTGTTTCATGTGCCCTGAATCATTTAAACATATATGCAAAAGTCTATATGCAATGCAACTACTCATACCAATTGTCATAATTGGTATTGTCATACCAATAGTTCAGAGGTGTTGGTACCTGGAGCCTGAGAGAGCTTGTCCGTTTGTTTGGGACAAAATCCCTTCTGTATGGTACCTGCACAAATAAACATCTCTACATATTCCAAATGCCAACACAACCAAGGGATGGTCAGTTCCCGATTTACCTGGAATCCCTGGATCTGACCATCACAGATACATCATCATAAATATTTATGCCTTGTTTCCCCAATGTGCCGGGATCATATGTGCAGGGTTAACGTCTTGTGTTTCATAAGAATTGATTGTACCAGGTAACCAAGTTTCAGTTGATGCTGGTTGTACAGTAGCGTGAGGCCCAGCCTTGTGAGGGCTGTGGTGACTAACTCGAGATTGCCAGACTGTCATAAATTTTTTGGCTCATGAGTTTATGAGTGAGACTTGCATGGCCTGGGTGTCACCTGAGTTGGTGTTGCTGGGCCTTCCCCTGCCTCCGTGTTGTCCGTAGATGTATGGAGGAGTTTGAATAACTCTGCTTTCCTTGCTATGGCAAGGTAAGGGATTTGTCGCCTCCTTAGGTCGGTGGTAATATGCGGGATCGTACAGGATCTGATTGCTGCTGGACTAGCAACATCTCCTCTGCTTGAAGGTGTATCACTTCTAGCCGGGGTGCTAGGAAGAGGTGATTCTTCACCATCTTTTTGAGAAATACTTAAATAACAATAAAGATTGCAATTATTATTTGTACCTAGGGGTCTTGTACTGGTTGCTAGCTAAGCCGTAAGGCGAAACGATTAGGCTTGGTGTTTTTTGGTGACTGGTGAGGCCCTGCTAGTTGACAAGTGGCTTGAGAGGGTCTATCTAAGCTTGGCGCGAGGGGATTTTGTGTGGCCACTGAATGTTGTGGCAGGATGTTGGCCTCTCGGTGACAGTAGCCAGAAAATAGGAAGGGGAGTGACAGGTGAGGCCCTCTCTGTGATACAATGTGAGGCGGCTAGCTCACGAGTGGCCCGAGGGGTGTATGCCGCTGAGTGTGAGGCGGGGTGTTGGCCTCGCGGGACCACTAACTGAAGCGTAATGCAGAGAAAAAAAGGGGGTAATATCTATTGGGCCCTAGAACCCTAATTGCCAGTACACTATTACTTTTCCAGGGAAGGTAAGAGATGGATAACTACGTGAGCAGGTGTATGTACCTGGTAGTATGGTATTGAACCTGACAATCCATATAGGTTTTTTGTAGTAACTGTAACCTGAATGGATAAAACCGTATGGCATAAGGAAATATGGCATAGACCAAGCTTATCTTAATATGTACAATATATGTGAAAAGTAAAGTGCCGTGATGTCTAAATAGTAAACATCGTAGCCATACTGGTTAAATATGTATCAATCTTAACCCATTAAGTGCCGTATGTACAAGTGAAAAAGTGGTCTGTCCCCACCTTGTATGTCCCCTTGCTAGGGGAAAGTCTGTTGTGTGAGCAGCGTGCTGTGAAAAATGTATGTGAACTATATTACCAGTTACGTATATACAGATGCGTCTGCTACTGTGTAATAATATGTGTATTTATACCAGATGATATACTACTTGCTATGTGAATTGTTGTATGTCTTATTGAATGGTAGGGGTCAGTGAACATGGTGTTGCAAAATGCAAGTGCACTGGAGATCTGCCGAGTGCTCTATAGGTGGCAGTGTAGTTGGATACTGATTGGTATGTGAAATGTTGTTTGTCTGTTGACCTATAGGGGTCAGTGTTTTGGTGTTTGTAAAACCCCATGAAAATTGTCAATGTACTTGACAGACCTGTAGGTGGCAGTGTTGGTAGAACCACTGTTGGTCTTGATGTGAAATGTAAATTATTGTGAATTAAACCTGAAGTTGAGCCCGTGCGGGAGTTTAATTTATGGTTTATGGTTATGTTTAAAACAATCTTATGTATAATTTATATTGGCTGGTAAATTGTATATGACATGTGAAGACAGTTTTACTGTTGACCAGTAGGGGTCAAAATGCTGATTGTATGGTAAAAATGCCCTTTAATCCAAATGCAAGGTTAACGTGAGATTTTGAAGGGGTCAGTGTGGTTTATGTGAAACAGTGTTCGTGAGCTATGCCCCAGCATTATAGTTGTATGACAGGGAAACAAACAGTGCCCGTTTGAAAATATACAATTTGTGAACATAAT